ATTAACTTAACGTGAACTATGCTCTACACCATGAAACATTTTATTGAAATTTTTGTCTGCCAAACTGACTGCTGCCGCCTTCTTCTCTACTTCACAATATTTGTATCCTACTGAACTGTAAGTTAGAGAAGCTTACGTGGTCGTTTACACACTGTGAAATGATTGGACATTACAGATATTATAACCGAAATCAACCACAACAGCTATTGTCTTATAGTTAATACCATGAAATCCAGGCAGCATACTTGTCGGAAACAGAGATTTTGCGTTGATGAATTGCGTCTGACTTTGCCTACTTAACAACCATCTAAATATCCATAAAGTGAAATCACTAAACTACAAATTATTCGTCTAAACCTTTAAAAATTGCTAAAATTGAAAAACAGTGCAAAAAAGTCTATTTCATCCCAGGATGAAGCCAAAATGTTCTATCTATTCAGTAAAAGATCTATCGAAAATTCCCTATTCATCTACAAATAATTGAAATAATTTTGAATAGAGTAATAGTTGTGTTGAATTTCGTAACTTTATTTAACTTATTTCACATGGCATAATTTAACATCACACATACATGATCACTTTATCTCTGTGTAGAATGCCAATCATAAGTGAATTATTGGTTTTACTTCAGATTATATGACGGACTTAATCGATGATGATTGAACAGAAGTTGATAAATTCTGAAAAGATTGTTTCAGAGAATTTAGTGAGAATAATACATTTCAAACTACGAAATAGTGTATCAACAAGATTTTCTCTCTTCCTTACACAGATTGACGTGTTATTTAAACACCTTCCCTTTCTTCACTCAAATCTGTTTTTTTCTGTGTATAACTTTCGTAAATGATCAGAATTTTTCTAAAAGAATCAGAATAATGTCTCTGTGCTGTCTTCGATTGGTTTTATGTCACACATTAAAAGATTTCCAAAATGGAAATAAACGTAAATTATTGGCTTTCTCTCAGTTAATACTGTCAATACAACTGATGAATATGTTGTTCGTATGTATTATTAGGTAGAATGCTGTACATAAGCATACACGATATCCAACGTTATAACCATTTGACAGCGATTGTCGTAACACAGAATTTTTATATTCAATACCCAATACATAACAGATGTGATTTGCCTAAAAATGTCTAATTTTAATTTGATGACTATCAACTTGAATGATTGCTGTATCACGAGTTATGGATTTCTAAAAGGTAGTGCATGCAATGTCGAGTCACCTAGACAGGTGGCCACATGGCAACTTGATCGAAAGTATTTAATCTGCACTAAGAACGACCTGACACACATGACATTTATCACCACCCACTGACCAATCAGTTGTGAATACATCTCAGTCCCACAGGAGGTCAGTCGCGGCCCGGATAGTTCAATGGCGACGTCTCTACCTGTGAAGCTGGGTGACACGGGATCAAATCCGTCAGCAAGCACCAGTTCCCTCAAGATTAGAACGTAGTGGTTGTGCTTCGTTAACCAATCACCCTCGTGACCGTTAATATGTAAACCACAACGGTGTTTGAAATCAGAAAGCAAAGAGAAGCAGTAACTTTAGTTTATTAGCAGATAGCTCAGACCACAAAGCGGAAAGGCGAATGAGAGAGTCAGTGAGTCGGGTGAATAGGATTAAATGTACATGCATATATATATAGGAAAACTAATGAATCATCGAATCAATTAAGCGACTAATAGTAAAGTTAACAGTAAGCAATGCTCAAGCATACATATTCATACAGTTGAAGCAATAATAAAAGTACAATGATATAGAAAAGTTGTTGTTGTACGGATGATTCAGTCCGTTAAATAAGTTAACAAAAGGGCTTGACTGAATTAAACGTGAACAAACTTAATTGCATGTGAGTTGCTATAACAGATACATCTTGCTGACGAGCACCAAATAGCACGAAAACCAGGTCAAGGGTATCCTGTTGACTACTTCCGACGACCACCTTCGTGACAGGTCATACAAATTCACCTTGACCGAGAATAACTTGAGATTAACATATCCAGACCAATTATGATTTGGATTGTACTAAAAATATTCCACATTGTTTTCTTCATATTATTTAAACTTTTGTTAATGTAATTCGGTTATTTAGTTACTTTGGATTTTGATGGAGTTTTGTTCTCTGAACTGGATGGTTACTCTCGAGAAGTGGCTAACATTAAGTCACGAAAAGTGAGAAATACATTTTTCTACTCTTTGGGGTATAACAAAAATATGTTTGATATTAACCGTCTACCCAATGTTCAATTTATTTGAAACTATCAACTCCGACCTTGGGCATTGATATGTACAATTAAAAAATATGTTAATGAGCTAGATGAATTAACATTGTTTTCTGAGCTTTGGTGATACAGACATGCACTTTTATCAATTTAGGTTATGAAACAGTTCTTATTGTCAAAAGATCATGAAATATTATTAGACGACATTTAGTTTACTCACTTTGACGTTTGGTAAGAGGATATTATATTATTTTCAAAAAAACCTCCAGAGATCATACATCAAGACCACAAAATACATAATCATAGCTACATGACTTATTCATACTGTCTATTGATGCCAAAACACAGAACAAGTTGTGCTCTGGAAATATTTGACAATTACTTAAATGGTACACGAGTTGATGATTTCTAGATACCAATTTCACCCTCTCTTCATCTTATCTCCATTTATCTAAGTATTCGCTTTCCAAAAATTGATTTTACCTCCACTTAACCGAATTTCATTATTCTTGTCATTTAGCTGTAACGAAAATAAAACATTTCCTGTAAAAAATAAAATTTGTATATCATAGATACGAAAGTTTTCTATCTCTTTGTTTTCTGTTTTTCCAACATAACTTTTTAGTGTTTAGATCTTATTTTCTCCAATACCTCCTCGACACCGTAATGTTTTTTTTCACAGCCTGCAGGAAGAACGTCTTTGAAAACTTGTCTTCACAAAGTTACGTGAAGTGAATAGTCTCTGAATCTTATTTAATACATGGAAGTTGTTATGTTTAATTTAAAAAATATCTTTTATTGGTTGTTGATCACTACCCCAATAACTATATAGATAGTTAGAAAGTATACTTTGACAACTTACGAAGAGCTAGTCTATATTTAAGCGCTTGAAATATCGGCTCAGTATGTTTTCTATTCACTATTAATCCAGAAACCTTCTGGAACTTTCTGATATAACCTTAGAGAATGGGAGTTTTGAAATTCCTCATATCTGATTTTAACTAAACTATAGATATTTTGTATTTATAAACCTTTTATTTTGATTAAAATCAAATTCCTTATTCATCCAGAAGAATTTATTATGTTTCCGGTTAGTCGTGTCGATAACTTATTTCTAATATATTTAAATATTGTAAAGTATTTTTCAGTCCAAAAATATGAATTTTTATTACTTACGTATAAGAATCGCGAAATCCTGCTTAGCTCTTTTATAAAACGCTACAATTTATCATTGGGATACAAGCTACACAAGTCAAATTTAGATACCTCAGTTTCTGGCATAGTTTCTACTTAGTCCATACTTTGAATATAGACGAAACATTTTATCCAACTTATTTTAATACAAATGTTCTACAGCGTTTTATTTATTGAAGAAAGATGTTTTAGAACATATGTAAATGAAAATATTTCATAGTTGAATTCATGAGTTAATTATAGCTGGACCACTATGAAAAACCTTGAAGCACTAGACGGCCGTTTCGTCCTAGTATGGGACTCCTTATTAGTGCACACCCCACAATCCCGCCTCGCGAGATTAGAACCCAGGACCTGTCGGTCTCACGCATGAAAGCATAACCTCTATACCACTGGGTCGGCATCCAACGGTGTTAATGTCTAACTTTAACCAATCCACAAAATTGGGCGACACATCCACCATTGTCTTCAGTGAGTTACTGTCTCACACAGACCTGGTTGAACTTCACTGGTCACAGCTTCTCAGATTAAAAATAACTGAGAATGATCTCGATTTTATGAAATCCCTTATTATTTTGAAACTTTACTATTAAAACGTATACTGAATTGGAATCTATTGCAATACCTTTAATTTGTGTCAAATGTCTCTTATGTCACTGAACATAGTGTGGTGATGATTACCTAATTTATAAATTTAATCTTGTAGTTTTATGCTGACCAATACATGTAATTCATAAATTTTATTGTTAATAAACAGAATACACCCATTAAAACATCAAATAAGAAAGATTGGTTCAGTGAAGAGTTCTCTTTTCGACGAATTCATTTTCAAAGCTGTACAATCGCCAATATATATATATATATATATATATATATATATATATATATATATATAAGGATGATCAGAATGATAATAATTACAATAATAATGACAATAAGCCTCTGTTAGACGTGGTGACAGTGAGGTAGAATAAACAAAGGTATCAAAAGATTCTTTCTTTTCAAACAGGAGAATTAAGAATCGTCTGATTGTTAATGGCTTATATATTCATCAAAAGATAGATAGTGAAATTATCATTGGAAAAGGATGGCTCAGTAAGTTAAGATAAAATGTTGAAATTCAGATTAAATGTAATCAGAAGGATCATAGAAATAGAAACAAACCAGTTATTAACACATGGAAACAACATTCTCCAATTTTAGGTCATTTAAATTTTGTAAACATTTAACGAATGCTTGTCATTTCTATTCTCAAAAAAAGAAAAAAGAAGTTCATTTTGATTGGTTAACTACTCTATCCAGTTATATAGTGATTTTTTGAAATATAGATACATTTGATTATTACAAGCTGATATAAGTAGTTTTGTTTTAAACATTCATTCATCAGTTAAAGTTTCTTTCTGAATAACTAAGTAATTCATGTTATATAAGTGTTTATATTGTTAGTACAGGATAAATATGATCAGAATTAAAAATACAGACTATAGACTATAGTAATACAAAGTTTATTCTATTGGACAAATGTAAACTAATTCTCTATATTCAAATACATTTTTTTATACAAAGAAAGGATGCACATGATGATAGAAAATATGTTGATTGTTTTCAATGTAACAATGAGAATTTTCATTTTACATTTATGTTATGTAGGTAAGTGATTTTGAACTATTTAAAGTAATGAATGTATTTCTGGATAAAAATCCTTTAAAAAAGAAGAAAACTCGAGCTGATGAATGTTCCTTGTGTATACACTAAACATGATTAGAGTACGGATTTGTTTATTAACTGCCGTTTAAGCTCGACTAACACTTGGATCTATGTAGACTGTTCCAATATTGAAGTTAATCTGAGAATGTTATCCATGTGTCCAAACTCTATTTCTAACACTAGTCACTAGATCGTTAATAACAAAACAGTGTATATTTACACTTAGCTGATCATATTTGTTATCACAATCAAAGAGGGGTTTTGTGGATATTATAGTAATTTCAATGGTTGAGATCATGAATCAACTGAAGCTAGACCACTATGGAAAACCTGGATGCACTGGATGGTTGTTTCGTTCTAATGTGAGATTCCTCAGCAGTGCGCACTCATGATCCTGCTCATTTCTATTCCTCAATTAAGCTTATATATATCCTTTACTATATATATGTATCATGTATTCATATCTAATTTCGGTTTCAAAGTAGGATTTCCAATTAAAATTATATGATAATATATTTCAAATGATGGAATATCATTGTTTAAATCAGTTAGTGATAATGCTCAACAACATAAGTGGGTTATATCAATTAGATTAATACGAACGACAGTAACTTTATTCTCTCTTGTCTATCTATCTGTCATAAATGTTTAACTTCAAATATATTTCTTCGGTTTATTTTTGTTATTAGTTTTGTTGTTTATTGAAATTGTTATTCAAAGTCCTTAATCTTCAATCTGTCTTGAAATGAAAACAATTATTTATACTTATTGTGTATTTTTATGGTTATCACCCAATAATGATGATAGTTTTCGAATGAAATCATAATTTTAGAATGGTGTGAGTAAATATAATTTTGTATAGATTTCTAACGAAACACAAAGGTTCGATGAATCTAGTTGATCCAGTATGAATGCCAATGGATTCTAGCACATCAGAAAAGTTTAAACACTTCGTTGAACTCCAGCGCACAAATAACATTTAATGACGTCTTAATGTAAATAGGATTCTGCCCTAGTTCTGGCAAACTCCTCTTGTTTAGTAACAAAAGTGACAATTTTACCATATATCATGTCAATTCTGTACTATGTAACCACTCAAACAAGTAAATTGATTTGATCTAGGATTTCTTTCCAATAACTGTCATAAATTCAAGTACTGGGTATTTTGTATGTATAATAAATCATTTAATGAAATTTGAAATTATCTCTAACTGTGAGTGTTTTGATCTTCAAATACACAGTTCTACTAATCAGCTACTTAAGGCATTTTAGCAAACCAGTAGAACAGGTTCAGTAAGAGCTTTAACAAACAAGGTATTGATTCGTAAAGTTCCTAACTACCGTTTTATGTTATGTAAGCATAAGTTTACTTTTTGATTGATTTTGGTAAAACACCTTGCGTCAACGATATATGATGATCAAGTGACTCTAAATAAATCCTTCAGTGCTAAACATTTTATTCATGCTTACGTTTTCGTTCCCCTTTTCCTATACTATATTTTCATAATTTTTATAATTTTCAATAAACTGATTTCCGAATATTAACTATTCTTACCACTGGCTTCTCTTTGATTCATGAATATGAAGTAAGATGGTGTGCATTAAAGTAAATATGTACTAAACCCCATGTTATTTTTTATTTGTCTGGCTCACTTTTGAATTGTTGGATAGCGGGATTATTAGTTTTTGTAATTAATAAGTTAAAAAAATTTTAAAAACGGTTAAAAAGGGTTGAAAAGCTATCCAAATCGTTTTTTGCATAAATAGTAAAAGTATTAAGTCTTATAACTTACCAACGCCTGTTACTCCTCGTAAAGGAGCATAGGCCGCTCACCAGCATTCTCCATCCAACCCTGTCCTGGGCAATCCTTTCCAGCTCCTTCCAGTTGTTATTCATCCTTTTCATATCTGATTCTATTTCCCGACGTAATGTGTTATTTGGCCTCCCTCTTTATCGCTTCCCTTCAGGATTCAAAGCTAGGGCTTGCCTCGTGATGCAGTTTGATGATTTGCTTAATGTATTTCCTATCCATTTCCATCGTCTTTTCCTAATTTCTTCTTCAGCTGGAAGTTGGTTTGCTCTCTCCCACAAAAGGCTGTTGCTGATGGTATCCGGTCAATGGATGTTGAGTATCTTGCGTAGACAACTATTCATAAATATTTGTACCTTCTTGATGAAGGTTTTAGTGGTCCTCCAAGTTTCAGCTCCGTAAGGTGAAACTGCCTTGACGTTGGTATTGAAGATTCTCACTTTGATATTGGTTGAAAGTTGTTTTGAGTCCCATACGTTCTTCGATTGTAAGAATGCGGCCCTTGCTTTGCTAGTCCTCGCCTTTATGTCTGCATTTGATCCTCCTTTTTCATTGATGATGCTTCCCAGGTATGTGGAGGATTCTACATCTTCCAGGGTTTCGCCATTTAGAGTGATTGGATTGCTGTTCTCTGCTTTGAATTTGAGGACCTTGGTTTTCCCCTTGTGTATGTTGAGACCTACTGATGTAGAGACTGCTACTACACTGGCTGTCTTTATCTGCATTTTTTCGTGTATATGCGATAGAAGGGCTTTATTACTTACATACATTATATTATTTATCCAAGAGTACTTGCTTTAATAATGATGTGTTATGTATTTATCCATAAAGAGTGGTGTTTATATGTTTATTTAGTAACATTTGAATTTTCTATTGCTGAGAATCCATGTAAACAATTCCCTCATTAGTATAGACTTAATTCAAATTGTATGAAACAATTACTATTCAACTGACTAAGCAGATCTAACTACAATGAGTTCTTTTTTATAAACGAAATTAAAGAATATGATTGAAAAATATATTGAATTCACGAATCAGTAACCCAGGCAAGGCTCATTGCAACGGAACTAAGATACGTTAGTTTCAAATATCAAAGCCGATATGTTTTTTTGGATAAATTGTTTAAAATGTGAAGTTTCAAATCTACATCACTATTACCATCAAGGCATTTGAAGTTCTACCAATAAAGCGTGTTGATCAGCAAACAAAATATTTAACTGTCATTGTCGTTTGAAAAATCTTTAATGCTATAAATTTTGAATATGTTAAGTAAAATATATTATGGTTAATTTTCTATCATTTAAACATATTTTATACTGCAAACTTTGAGCGGGTTTATGAATAGATATGTAGTTAGCCAAGTGGATGAAACTTAGGTTGATCAGGTACAACAGAGTGGATGATCGGTCCGATTACTGAGACCACCTAAGTTAGCTAGTAGGGTTGCCCCCACTATCCAGCAGCTCCATGAGGAGGCCTTAGTTCGAATTTTGCTTCCAGGTTTATACATACAATTCCCATTTAAAACGTTTTATACTATTCTCATATTTTGGACCTGGTACTCATATGACTCATAATGAATGTATTGAATTTTTAATTCTTACACAAATTTTATATAATTATCTAGACAGTGAGCAAATAATTCTAAAAAAAATATGAACTAGCAATTCTTTTAATTACTGGGGATGTGTAGATCTGACTTAACGACTAATGACAACGACTATCATAATCTCTAAAATCATAGGCTTGTTTTTCTGTTAAAGATTTCCTAAGATAAAAAAATAGATTGATAGTAGCTATCAAATAACTAATTTGTCGCTAAATATTAGTGTATATTTTACTGACAAATTGATAGTTCAAATCGGATTCTTCTGAGTAAATTTACATTACGAAAATCAGAATGGTTGAGTTCTATTTAATAACAAATTGGTTTAAAAATGAAAGGTCGATTGGTATTTTCCATCTTGATTTATTTAGCATACTTATAGTCGAATCTTTCCCGACACTCTAATAGTATAATATTTAAGCTATTTAAATCTCCATAAATAACATTAAAGAGAGATACAGTCGTTCCAACGTTATATCTGGGTAAAAAATTATAAAACTACTCTTACTCAGATAAACAGTGATCTCATAATGGTTAAGTGAGAGAGACCTCATGGCTATTACATGAATGAAAATATATAGACGAAATTATATTTGCAAACTTACTCGACTTTACAGTAAGTTATATCTATTATTAGTAAACGACAACCATAATTGCAAGCAAATCTGTCTCACTAAATTATCGTGTTGTCTTCACTATGTAGAAAAATCGTCGAAAAAAACCTTTTCCAGTAGATTATTAATCTAAATTCAATAAATCCTTTTAGATCATATTTTGCGAAGTAGTTATACCATTTAGTATATTTGAGACGACTTATTTATGATGACGAATCGAATTCTCTATGAAATATTTCACGTCAATATTTGTTATTATGTATATTTTATGAATCAAACAGTACTAGTACCTCAGAATTTATATTTCTCACCGCAAATACCAATGAATATTTCAGCATGATTCTTGGAATTGGTTCAGTGGTTTTAATTTTAGGTACTGTCTCAGACATACTAAATTATCTCGTAGAATTATACTTTGAAGCAATCATGTATACTTTTTCTAAGGAAAATATAGATACATATAAGTAGATCAGCCTTTAATAAGATGTTGTTCGCCGTAATATAACATGATTCGAAAAAACTTTCTTACAAGGTATTTTAAAATGGACATTGATAATGAATCAACGAAGTAACTAAAAGTTAATCGATTAATCGAAGTGTATCTGTCCAGTAGCTATGCATTTTTGTATACATAAGTGTCTTGCAAACTGATGATCAGTTGTAGTAGTCTTCAAAAAAAAGTTATCTTCTTTTCATCTGTATTCTTAAGACTACTAGTTATTAGTTTAGAAAGTTATCATGGGAGGAAACATAACTCGTCTATATTAGTATAAATTTTATTCCCATTTTACATTTATGTTTGAATCAGTGTAATGAAACTTAATTACTTCCGCTTGTATTTTTTTTGTTAACTAACATCAACTTATGTAACTGTGTTTATGGATATTTTTAAGTAAACTGGAAAGTTATCAA